CTCCACGGCGTCAGGCCCGCTCGGCAGCCCCAATGAGAGGCCGTTTGCTGAGCCCGAGGGGGAAGGATGCCTCGACGTGGCATCAGCGGCATAGTTGCTCTTGCCGGGTAGATGCACAATGTCAAAGCGCCATGGGATCTTCACCAACGGCTTATGGTCGGTGACCACGACGAGGTTGTCGGACCCCTGCGTGAAGTACCGCGTCTGTTCCAGACCCCAGGCCACAGCTAGGGCCTCTCCCTCGACGGCCGCATAGCGCTGCTCCGCAGGGGACAGGAAACGCGAGCCCGCGAGGGTGATCCTCCATCCACCTGGGCAGCAGTCCGGTATGCCCGAGGTACAGTGACAGTGTTGCTGGAGCAGGAAGTAGCCTACGCCACGCATGGACCAGTCGGGGCGGAGGCAGGTACGCTTCTGCATGTCGTAGATCTCCACGCCCTCACGGATGGCCTCCATTATGGCATGCTTAGACGCCTGGAAGGCCTCCTCCAGAACGGGGGACCATAGGAACACACAGCGTGGGCTGAGGAACGGCTTAAATGGGGCCATCGTGTCACCTAACTGGGCATAGTTGGCCACCTGGTTGACAAGGCCGAACCAACTCCTGATGTCTGTCGTGGAGCCAGGGGTGGGGAAGTCACGGATGGCGTCCAAGTATTTCGGGAGCGGTTCAATGGTAGATTCCGACACCCTGAAGCCAGCGAAATCGACGCACCTCTCCGCGAACTGGAACTTGTCTGAGTTCAACACGATACCCGACCGGCCGACACGCGTCAGGAAGTCGATGGTCCTCCACCAGTGCTGCTCCAGGTCGGTGTCATAGTGGATGGTGTCATCCACGCAACGTTCCTTGCGTTCATAGTCCGAGAGGACGGCATCAAACCGACGGTTGTAGCCATCCCCTGATGACAGGAAGCCCTGTGGTGCCCTGGTGTAGCGCCAACGGCCGAAGGGTGTAATGCCCCCCTGCCCCCCCGCAAAATCCGCCTATGGTCTCGACTGACAGCGGTGCAGTTCTGACGGAGTGAGTAGGAGACGAAGTGCTGCAGCACTTAGTTCAGAAACTGCAGTACCCATAAGGAGCCGTACACATGCCGCAGTTTCTGCGTGGCTGTGTCTTTAGTTGAAAACCCAGTGGCGATCTGCTCATCTGTCATACTGATCATACAGTCAATAACTTTGTTGTTAACTTATTAGCATCTGGTTAGCTAGCTATGCTAACGAATATAAGAAGCTTTTTCTACAACCAGTGAGGTAAAGGAGGCACATCTTTATATGATCATTATAGTTGACAAGAGAACAAGAGAATAAAGTAAACAGGTATAAAATACTATATGACAGTAAACAAAAGTTGTTATTAATAAAGAAGAATACAGTTTAAAGGGGAGTGATTTGTCAAATATTCATAAAGAAAAATAAATCTGCTTCCAGTTCTGTTTCATCTGGATGTTGATTGATTGATTGAAAAGTTTATTAACAGCTTGTATATTGGGTACAGTACAGTACAGCTCAAAACATACAATTGTTAAGGGGATGCAGACCAGAGAAAGACTTTCGTCTTGTTTACATCAGGGTCCCCCATTTCCAATTCATCATGTCATTTAAGACATATAAGACATATTTGACATACAGATGGCTTATTTACAATTTACATACAGGTGTTTTTTTTTTTTTTTTTACATATAGATTGCTTGTTTACAATTTTCATTTTAGATTTCGTTCTAATACATCCTAACCGGACATTTAAGACATACCAAGTCTACAGATATACAGTTAGTAACTCAACATGTTGAGAGATGTATCCATAGCAGGGTTGCCAACTCTCATGCATCTGGCGTGTGACACACGCTTTCACTCTCAATCTCACGCTCTCACGCTGCCCAAACTATTCTCACGCCAAAAACAAGAATACCGCAGACTAGAAACGGTTTTGTCACGTAGTGATCGTCTTCTCAATAGAACATCTTTGATAATGTCTTCTGGCCAATCAGAATCAAGATAACGGCGTTGTGTTGTTGCAGGAAGTCCCGACGGAGAATACTTTTGCTGTAGTACATCTCTATACATCGATACAACATTACGTGTTGATAGAAATCAACACGTAATGAAATAAGACCCCACGGTTTGATGATTGATAGGTGTGTGGGCTGTCTTTCATTTTGACACACAGAACAATGGGGGCATCCACCCTTATCCACAATGTAAAGTAACTCACAGCCTCTTCTCTCTTCTCTCTGTGAGGAGCAGCAGGTTCAGCTTTCAGAACAAAGTAACACAAAACTAAAATGGCATTCATTTTTTTAAATATGTCGTGTAGTGATAGATGTATTCATTTTTCTTCTCAAGAGAGTACCAGAATGTGTATTTTATGTTAGTATTTCAAAAAATGTCCTGGGGAAGAATCACCCCAGACCCCCCTGCAGGGGTTGGGTTTTCAGCATGTCAACTCTTTCACTTGTGTGGAAATTGCAGGATTGGCTCCAGGTCGCCCTTTTTATTTACTACAAGACAAATGTGCCTTTTTATTTCATACAGTTCAATTTAGATTGAGACAGGGAAATAATCTAAACCTCACGCGTGGCGTTTCACTGTCAAGGGGAGCGGGTATGTAATTACATTGCAAATACTGACTTCACCCCACCGGGTTAGCCCTACCATGGAAAACCCAACAAAAATACTCTGGAGCCGCAACTGCCGACCCGTATTGCGCATGCGCAGATCTAAAATTCAGTAGAAATTATAAAAAGTAAGTCTGCTGCTTATTGTTCTACTAGGCCAAAATATAGTCAAAGAGTATATGAGAGTGAGAGTGTGTTAATTAACATATTTGGCAGTTTGGAGTAAGTCTGTAGATTAGTTGTGTGTGTGTGTTTCATGTATAGCTCTCACGATAATTAATTTGGTTGGATTAATTTTCCCGGAAATTATTGCGATAAACGATAATATTGTCGGCACCGTTGTATGACCATTTTAGACCACGGACATAATGATAATATATAACAGTAATTCAAGTACATCCTTTCAAACTGCTAGTCACATCCTCATGTAAATGGGAATTTATCGAGTTCATTTTTATTTATCGTACGATAAGTCAATGAATTGCTTATCGCGACAGGCACACAATAAAACAGTGGAAACAAACATGTGTTTGACTTTCATTAGTGAATGAAACTGTGTGCCCTTTATAGTCTGTGTCCAATATTATGTATTTGTGTATATTGTATATATATCATATATATATGCTAAGGTCTCGCTGCTGACACGATAGCAGTCATTTCGTGCGCATATGTGTAATCAAACCCATGATACCAAAATCTCACTCCAGCCAGGTACCCAAAGTTGGCAACCCTGATCCATAGATCTCCTAATGTTGCTCTCAAAGTGCACCAGATTGATGCTTTTAACTTCAACATTTAAAAAAAAATCTTCCCGGGGGTGCTGGAGGAGGTTAGTCCCCCCCCCCCCCCCCACTTAAATCATGTTCACATGGATAGGAAACTAAATACATTTGCACACATCTTGTGTCCATATCTTTCTGTTTTGGTGGTCACGCCACAACGTGCATGCATACGCATGTGTTCACACCACGCCACACTGTGCATGCATACGCGAGTCATGGTGAGATATCTGGATTAAGAGGTTGCTTTTTCTTTGCACAGCATGAAATGGATGGGCTGTGATTTTTGTTTTTTTAAGCAGAGGTCAATAATTTGTACGGCCCTCTGAGGATATTGTAAAAATTGAAATAACCCTTGAGAGGAAAAAGGTTCCCCACCCCTGCTCTAAATAATAATGATCACACCACCAAACGCAGATTATAACTAAAGTATCGAACCTTTTGAAAATGTAAGAAGTAAAAGTACAGGTATTTGTGTTAAAAATGTAAGAAGTAAAAGTAAACAGTTGTCAGAAAAATAAGTAGTGGAGTAAAGTACTGATACCAGAAAAATGTACTAAAGTACAGTAACAAAGTATTTGTACTCCACTACTTCCCACCTCTGGCGCTTGACTATTATATTCTTGTCCTGAAAGTAATGGGAGTGTACCCATTTAAAAGACTCTAACAAAAGAGAGTTGGGTCTTTATTCACACAACGACTGAGATTACTATTATAACTGCAATTATTTGGTATATGGGAACATGGTAGACTTGAATTTATTTTATTCCAATACAGAAATAAAGTTATTGAACGTAATTTATACAGCTATTTCACTCAGACTTGTTTTGCGGTGGGCATTGTTTAAACATACAAATATCTTGTAAATAAACTCTTTGCATTTTGTATCTACGTAGAAGACTGACTCTTCTGTCATTTTTGTTAATGTTGTGTTCAGTAGTTTAAATGGTGTAATTACATGTTTATGTCATTGTCCATAATGTAATAGCCTTCCCACATTGTGGTGTGTACCTCTACTTCATCTTAACTCTAAAATGAGAAACAGGAATTGAAGAAATATCATTTAAAACGGTTTTATTTTGTTTCAATATATTATACAATGACAAGAAGTTAAGAGAAAGGATATAGTCTTTTATTTGACTGCTGCGCTCATCGTTGTGTAAGCATTTATGCAAGGCTGCCTCTGGGTGTAAATTATAGTAAGGTGCGTCACATTAGCTTGAAACTGTTCAAATGTATCTTTCTGTTTTCTTTTTTTTAATGATTGGCTGCAAAGGTAAAGCACAACATATCCAATATATATATATATATATAGTATATCATATATAATATGGCTCAAACTATGTGTTTTCTACACAGCTAGTTGCTTAAGTTGATATTATAAACTTTTAATAAAATCCTTTTCAACAGCACTGACTGATGGTAAAAGGTTGTTGATGAATGTTATAACTTGTACATTTCTTTCTTTCTTTTTTAAAGCAAAAGTTACTTTTTCTGTTACATGTCATCGGAGCCCATTTCGAAGCAGTGGGTGGTCCCCTGGCTGCCGAGAACCACTCCCTTGCACCGGTCTCCTCCCCTGCATTCCCCTCCTTCTCCTCACCAGGAGCCCTACCCAGCTCACTCTGACCACTTTGCTCAGCACAGAAGAGCAGCCACACAGAAAAAAAAGTTCAAATCAACTCAGAGCAGAGGAGGGAGGAGAGACGGGAGAGAAAACGCCCTGGAAACTTTGGTTGAGAAATAGGAAAAGAGTGACTGAATCCTAACAGACTGCAGAGCTGTGACTGGAAGAAGTGCTTTACTTGTGAGAAGGGGATAGGACACGTTTTCAAGGATGCTCAAGTTGGTGTGAGGCTTCTTGGGCGCAAAGACTGCGCACAGGTAAATATGCACTTTTTCTTTAACTTTCTTTAAGTTTTTAAGAGTGTTTGGGAACTTTGTTGCTGACTATGCTCTGTTTCCAATGTAATCTTGAAGAAAATGACCTAAAATGACTTGGTATAAGTTTAAGAAACTAAGTTTCGAAATCCAACATTCCTGTTATTTCTCAATAGGGACTTGTAGTCAGTCTGTGTATCCGTGCTAAGGTCACAGTGACTTAGTTATATGTTATTATGTGTGTTTATCTTTTGAGGTGTACTATCAATTTTCCTAAAGGGAGGTTCCCCTAAAGGAACGTTTTGTGAAGAGAAAACGTGTATTATTGCTTTTTTGTAAGGGTGCAAACTCTCAATGTTTTTTGTGAATATCATCATACGTTTTAAATACTGGTTTAAAACAGTGAAAGACAGGAGAAGTGGGTGTGTACCTTGGACCACCACATGAATGCAGAGGGTTAGTCTGGAGATGCGCACTTTCCTTTTCTTTTAACTGCACACAAAGATTGTTATCCAAGGTGCATATGAGGGCTGAACCCATTGTTTTTGGTAGAATGTATCTTCATATGATTTTAGTAAAGAAAAACGAGTTACCAAAAGTCACTCTTCTGGTGTAGTTTTTGGAATATTGTGGAGCATGTCCTTTGAATACACATCATCTCTAGTGTTTGGGGTAGTACATTTTTTATTCAGCAATAGAATCTTTCACAAACTAAATGAAACATTATGTAAAAAGCAGCATAAAGTTAAAGAGTGGCGTTGTTTGCGCTTACGTTATCGTTTAGGTGTTTGCTTTATCTGTCCAACGCCCTTTTCTGAGGCTGTGCTGTTTAAAATGTAGGTAATTCTTCAAGCCTGCAGCAACAAGCTTGGGTGTGGATTCCTCTCTTTAACCTCCCTCCACCCCCGCCTTTTCCCCCCTCCCTCCCTCCCTTCTTGCTTTGCTGTCTCTTCACAGAGGCACACCCTTTATAAGCAAAAAAAAAAGAGGAAAAAAAACCGTGTACATCCTGCAGACGGTTGGTCCCTTTAAACACATTCAAGGACCTTCATAGTGTATCCAGGGGGCCCCAGCTAAGTTTAAAGTACTGACCATAACTTTTTCTGCCTATGCACTGTGTCGTCATGTGCTGTATTTTTTTTATCAGTTTAATGGAACAATGAAAACATAGTCATATATGGGCATTTTCAATACTTTTTGGAATGTGTCAGAAGGTTCTTTATATGATCAGTTTTTGGCGTACCTCTTTTCCAGCAAGTGTTATGTAAGAGAAAGTTGGAAACTGTAACTGCTGCTTTGTACTGAGGCATGTTTGTTTATTATGACTACCATATAACAAATGTTTGAACAGAGAGAGATTTATCTGTCTTTATTTTACCTTGGGTCTCTTAACCTGGGCACCCGGCCAGGGTGTGGAAGGGAGGAAGAAGGGGGGAGAGAGGAGAAGGAGAGAGGAAGAGGGGGAAGAGAGTGAGTAAGTGAAGGGGGATGGGCGGGGTGGTGTGTGCGAGGAGGGGAGTAATGGAATGTAGTGGTTTGGAAAGACAAGCTAATTGAAACCAGGTTTGAGGCAAAGAGGGGGAGTTTAGACTTCGCACTTGTGGCGAAAGAAAGACACGCATTTAATCTGCCCAAAAAGTTCTGCCTAACTTATAAACAACATCTTACACTTAAACTATAATCAGCACATACAGCCGGGCCTTTGTTTCGCATTATGTATTTCTTCAAGTTGGGAATAAGGTTTAGCAAAAAGCAGACAATATGTAATCCTTTGTTTAAACTTGCCTGAAAGTCATATTTCTTGGTGTAGAGTTTTCTGTCCTCCATTTTCCTCTCCTGCCACACCCAAAAAACATGTCAGTGTTATTAATAAGAGCTGTTTTATGCGCTGCCCTGAACAGCCTTTTCTACAATTCACACTTAACTTATGTCGAGCGCCTAACGGTTGTAAATATCCTTCATTTCTCAAATAGCACCTGTCAAAGTGATTGATTGTGACAGCCTGCTTGAAGAGACAAATGGTGCCCCAGGGCCAGGGGTAAAGTTTTTTGTGTAATTTAAGCCCTAAATTATATTTTAGCATTTCAAAAAGTCCTGTTTTACTTGGTATACTTTAGGTGTAAAGTTGTGCTGCAAGAAAAAAAGGAAGGGACTTTCACAAACATAACAAAATAGACATAAAGCGCTGAACTGTTTCCTGACTGCCTGCAGCTGAAATGCATGCCGGTTAAGAGGGCCTCATCTTGGCCTGGAGCGCATACTGTTTGTCTAAATACTTGCACTCTCTATGAATGCAGCGATATAAAGGCTACATTATGTTGTTACCTCGTGCACTGTAAGAATATAGGAATTCAAAAAACCTTGCTGTGAACATCTTGAAGATGCTTCATTGCTCAGGTATTATAGCCAACATTGGCTGTGCACAGTGCCAGTCAAGGGGATTTTGTTGCACTTGCCACTCATGTGACAAACAGCATCTTTACCATCCCGAAGAAAAGCACATACCTCATGACTGTTTGGAGTCTTAATTTGATAATGTAAATATATTTTTCACAGAAGTACTATACATTCTTGCACTTTTGAACGGCAGTACAAGCGAGAGGAGATGTGTTCCTCAGGCGTGCCAGTGTGAAACGGAAAGAAACTGGTCTCTAGTACACTTCCTCTGCCACTTCCTCATTGGTTTGTTGAGTTGGTGTTTGAAAGTAGGGACGACATGGAGAGGCAAAAAAGGGAGGTAGGTATTGTGATGAATATACAAAAAGGGAGGGTGATTGGAAACAAACTGTAGCTTTTGTTCACACTTGGCATTCAATTAGAAGCTTGGCTTTCGGATATCCTGCAGTTCCACTTGACTCCCTGAAGTCCCACCCAGGGGATCGGTTGAATAAAACAATAGCACATTTGCAACTGTTCTAGTGAGGGAGCTGTGTGATTTGAGAAAGACTTTCTTGGCAATCCACCAAGCACTCCCTTCTCATCCACCCGACGCAGGTCTGGAATGTTTCAGCATGTCCTCAGTTTACTCTGTGGAGCATCTATCATTAGTTTAGCTCACTTTGTTGTTGTGAAATAGTGATTTGAGAAGTATGAGTCATCCCAAGTCCCACATTATACCTCTGTGAGTCACACCCATGCACATGCATGCAATTCAGACTTTTTTGTTGTAGCTGTTTGGTTGGCTTCTGCAATCATGGGATTTAGAAAGGGTGTGAATCATTTTTCTGATAAGCTGATTTATGCTGCTCTGGCAGACGTCTGCTTTTCGAGTCCATCCAAAAACATTCCATCTTACATGAAGGTTGCCTTGCTGCACGGTCGACCTGACCTTCACTAATTGTCTAACTTACACCCCAGTCCTTACAAACACTGTTATATAGCCTTGCACAAGGAATGACACGCAGCGTCTGTTACAACAACTCCATTTAGAGGCAGACAACATTTGGGGCAACAAGGCATGGAATGTAAATGTATACAATTCCTACAGCTTTGTTTAAATGTTATGTATCTACTTATCAACTTTGCACTTCTCTGGTCAAGTTGAAATGTTACGAATTAATACATTTACTTATACTGTGCTTATGAATCAAGCTCCTCATAGGAAGTCTTATGTCTATATATACATTCTGCTGCTAGGTTGCCATGTGATAACTCTTAACCTTCTTGCCTCCTGCTCCATGAATGGGCTTGCATTTGTTCTTGTTTAAACAGCAGCTGTGGAAGAAAATTGGGTAGAAGTTGGGCAGTTGTATGGCACGGAGTATGTAAGGTTGCTATGGATATCTGCTAACCTGTTTAAACGTCACTCTTCTCTTTATCTCTCAGGTTTTACTAGATATTTCACCTGTCCGGGATCACTAGTCATTTCAGAACTACAGCTAAATCCAAAATGTTTTGTTTCATTTTTGCGAAAAAAGGTACTGTTGTCTTATTTTGTATAGCTCAAGATTAATGTCTCAGTGGGATGTAGAGGCTTGTAATGGTTTATGATGCATTCAAGGTTTCCCAAAACTCCCCTGTAAACATATTAGATTATACCTCCTTGGATGTCTTAGGGCGTGATAGAAAACAAATATCCATCATTAATCTTTTTCTTACAGTCTCATACTGTACGGTATAAAATGCTTCTTTTACTTTTAAGATATAGTAGCCTCTCAACGCAACCCTCGGTTCACATTTTGATCTTGTTAAAGCAAAAATAAGAGCATTTAAAGAGTTTTCTTCAGTTTTCCATTTTGTGCACAACTCCTGCCAAAGTCACGATGGTTTAATCAGCAGTAGGCCAAGTTGGCGTCACTGGGTATGCTTTGGTCTTATGCAGGACTTGTGGTTTGGTTTAGGGCTATGTGGACTATGAAGTAAAGAAAATATCTATTTATTTTGACATGCATTCCTTTCACATGTGTCACACATGCATGTCCTGTCTGCAATTTTTAGGGAAGAGTGAAACTAAGATAGGGCCTACTTTGTCTCTGTTTGTGTTACTTCGGCATCAAACTAAATTGAAGAGAGAGGAACAGGGAGTCCATTCTGTTTTGAAAGCACAACTGATTAGGTCACTGCTCTTCTCTCTCCATCCCTCTCTGCACTGAGGCCTTTTCAGTTGTTTGTAATTGTATCACTCACCAACACAGCTGTGCCTGATTCATTTACATTTGAGCTTTAATCATTGTCACACAACTCCGGATTTCTGTTCAACAAATTGATTGGATTTGGCAATCAGCCTGATGCATAGACTACAGCCACTTTGGTCAGTTCTGTGAGTGACCTACTTAAACACAAACTATGACCGTCAAACAGTACAGGAATGTGCGCTCAAGGCAGAGTAGAAGCAACAAAGCCGTGGGGTGAAGCCTAAATGGACAATAGTGAGGACTGTTGTTGCATCTACCTTATGCACCAGTTAAAGCCAACACAACTGATGACAATGATAATTGTGATGGTGACATAGATCAGGGGTTCCCAAACTTTGCCATGCCAAGGACCCCATATAGCATTATCCTCTGGTGGGGACCCCCCTGTTGCAATTTTTTTTTAAATGATTAGTACATTATGATGGAAAATATGACAAATTAATCATACAGCTTAATACATTTTCTTAATATATATATTTGTATTAATAATTAATAATCAGTTATTCTTCAACAAAAAAAATTGTATTATTTTGTTTGTCATTCATTACATTGATTGTGTCTTCTGTTATAAACATTCTTAACAGTAATATCAACAGTAAACATATTTTAAAGCATTTTTAAAGAGATTTCTGTCTTTATAATATATAATTTTGAACAGTAATATGAACAATTAACATATATTTTTAGCATTTTTGAAAGCTATTTATATTAACAGTTAACAGTAATATTAACAATAAACATATTTATATTCATATATATAAACATCAATATTTGCTACATCCGTGCTCTCATCCAGCTGCAGAGCGAAATATTCACTAGCTTGCTCCAAAAGCTGAGCAGATACTCAGTTTCACTCTCAGTAGTGGCAGCTCGATTCTGATTGGCTTGAAGGGCGGTCGTGTGATTTAAAAAAAAATATATATATTATTAAATATGAAAAGATTGGCATCAAAGGACACATAGATTGATAGATATGCAGTTATTTATAACATCTAAAAAAAAAAAAAATGTAACTTTAAAAAAAGAAAAAAATGCCCCTTTCCCTCAAACTTTGCGTGACCCCCCTGGCGGCCCCCCGGGGGGTCGGGGCCCCCACTTTGAAAAACACTGACATAGATGATGAAAGTGGGAACCACACAGCCAAACTAGTGTTGCTTCTCAGCACTATTTAAAATGTATTTTTAGGGTGCCTTTAAATATGCATATCTGACTGGATGTGGTGTTCTTGTTTATTTGAGCATAACCTGGAGTTTGGGGGAAATTCAGGGGGGTGAGCACTCAGGCAGGGAGCAGGGTGGGCAGCATAGATTGAGGCTAGAGTCAGAGAGAAAGAGGACATTTCTTTGGAGTTAGTCACTGAGGGGAGAGGTTAGGCTCCCTTCCAGCTGGCCTGACGGCTCTATCAAGGAATGTGTGTGACTGGAGGCCTGGGTGGGGCTGTGCACATGCTCCCTCTGCAAGCAAAGCACAGAGGCAAAGCGACGTGATCCACCTCATGGACTGCTGATTGGTATTTCTGCCCTTCACCACGTTATGTATTTGCTTTCTCCACTGTTGGGGACCACCCCTTTCCTGACTCCTGACATGATAGTTGCCTGTTTGACTGCAAGTGTATTTGTGTGTGGCCTTACCAAGGTATTGAGAGCAGAAGTTGGGGAAACCTAATGTCTGGAAGTTATTGCAAATCTCATTTATCAGCAAATCTCACAAAAATAGTCAAAAGCATCTAATTTACAGTCAGAGATGTTTATACATGTCATGTTCTTATGTTGTATGTCAGGGACTATGGATGTAAATGAGCTCAAAGCTAAAATCCAGCATATTTACACTTGAAGCATTATTTGTCTTAAGTGTTCATTAATGTGCATTGTCCCTATTCAAATAAACAATTAAATGAAAATTAAATGAGAGATCTCACATACCCTTTATCTAATTTTGTTTTGGGCACCACTTATCCATGTGGATTCTATCTCACATTACCTTCAGACTGATACTTGACAAAAATCTACTGTGTAATTAAGTCAGCTTTTTACCTGAAAGACTGAGCCTTGGCCGTCTGATTAATATGTCTCTGTAATAGGAGCATGGGTTGGAGAGTGTACACAGCTGCTGTGGCGCATGTCTCCCTATACAAACATAAAGACTTACATGTACTAGCAGGCATTTATCTACCATATATTTCGGTAAAGGACTTGTTAAAAAAATCAACAACAAAGCAGTTTTAGGCTTAACGTTAAATCATTTACAAGCTTTGCACCAATCTCAATATCTTTGTTTAATGAGCATGTCTACTTACTTTCTCTCTATTGAGTTTAGCGTTAGGCATAGACATTTGTTTCAGGGTCTCACAACCACCGGCATAGTTTTCACAAAGTAATCAGCAATTAAGCTTATTGAACATGTGGGGCTAGGAGGGATGATGATGGGCTTGGAGAGCCTGTGTCAAAATATCTTTTTTCTTGTGAGGGACATGTTCCCACTGGTCGATGCCTGTCTGTACACACATCAAGTCTGTTTCTGTTTTCATGCAGACTGACAAAGAAAAGGCTTTGTTTTACAATATGCAGGTGGGTTGAAGCAATAATCCATGTCAGTCTGGTAAAATGTTGGGCTTGTCACAGCGAGTAAAATTAAGATTGACTTGGTATGCAAGATGACACTTGAAATCTAAACCATGTGTGCAGTTGCAACATTTTCACTTAATTCGCTGATATGATTGTTGTAATTCTACATTGGTAATAGTGGGGAAATTCACAAGCATCTTACATTTCCTTTTTACATTGCTATTGGACTGGATTTGCATCTTCTTAACTTTCAATATGAAATGTTATGAGACTGAACTGTATCCGTAATAGAGAATGTGTTAGTATCTTCTCATCTGCAGAGGTGAGGGCCACACCAAAACAGGGAGCTGGATTTATTTACTTAAAGGGAGTCTTTCACATAATTGCTTTCCAGGGTCGATACTGCTACTACTGTTGGTTAATTATTGAAGCATCTGAAGGCTCTGAATGGTTATGGGAAGATCCATTGAGCATGTAAACTAAAATGTCGAGAGTAAAATCCTTAATGTAACCACAGTACATGGGGTTTTGTCATGTTGGGACAATAGACCGTATAAAATAGGTTGTTTCACACCTCTTAAAGCAACAATGACTTGTGAGGAATATGTTTCGTTATCTGTCAAACTTGCGTGTGAAATGTTATGTGTTGTTGCGTAAGATAGCTGCATGATGGAATCAGAGTAGACTTGTTTTGCATGATAACAGTAAAAGTTCTTGTTCTTTTCATTTAAATCCTGTTTTATCATATTATTTAAATTCCAATCCTGTTTTTGTTTTTCTGTCTACAGAAGCCAAGAGAACAAGAACCACAGCATCTGACTGTAGGCCTTGGCCTTGCTTGAGCAATCCAAGGTGAGAGGAGAATTACATTACTTATCGCCCTTCACTCTAATCCAAGCCTATCTAGTCAGTGTCACGGTGCCACCTAAGAACAGCGTTGTATTATGTGGCGAGACACCAAAACCTCAGTTGGAATGTTTTTTGCAAAGCCTTCTTTGAACCTGGAAGGTCATATCACTACCATTCAGCTGTGAAAGGCCTGCCTTATGGAAACCTGACACTTGCCTTCTTCTGCTCCCTGTGCCTCCTCTTTCCCGCCCTCCTTCCTCCCCCCCACCACCTGTTCTGCTTCAATTCCTTTCCCCTTCTTATGACACAAACTCTGCCATGCTCAAACAGTTTTAACTGTTTGTATTTGGCAGGTCTGGATGATGTATTCCTTAAGAGGGGAATGATAGCAGTAGACGCTATACCAAACCTAAACCAATAGGCCAGTGACAGGCTGTGACCGAGGCATACCCAGGACAGCTCTGTGGGCACACTCTAATAGAAAGTATTGCCTGACTGACTGTCTTCACATCCCCCCTTGCTCAACCCACATTCCAGGCTTTAATACAATTTGATGGATAAACAAGTTCATCTGTTTCTGTTGGTTCCCTTTAATGCTTCTTGGCAAAATGATCATTTTGTTCGATCCTCAAATATGCTTTTGATGAAATCAATAATCAAATCAAAAGACATATGACATCAGGTATCTCAGGCATTTCAGTCAAATTAAAGGCTAAGAATAGAGGACTGGTTCATGCTCATGTTGCCTGATTGCTCTGAGTGACAGACTGCCTGCCTGTCTTATGATCCCAAGAACAGAGGCTTACTTATTTAGCATCTGTTTATATAATTCAAAATTCACATCTAATCCTATGATCTTTGTCAAGTTCATTGTTCCTCTCTGCTCTATTTCCAAAATAGCTTATACTATGTTAGGGTAATTTCTAAGCTTTTCTTCATAGGAATTGCTCTACTTGAGACTGATAAAGAATGAAGACAGAAAGTGAGGTCTTAATATTGAGGATGCCCTCTGCACAGCTGTTGAAAGTTGCTGTTACGACATCAGTGATAACCCTGCGTTGTCATTCTCCGTTGGCTGTTTTCTCCCGCTACTTACTTTAAACTTGTGTGCTAACATTCCACAGAGCAGTTTCACAACCATTCCTTTCCCTTTCTTACTTACTATCTTGCTCACTTTCATTTGTTCTACCATTTCCTCTCTATCTCCCTCCCTCCCTCTCTCCTTCCTTCCCTCCTATGTTGCTGTGAGCCCCAGCCCCTCCCTGCAGATAGCTGCCAGAAATATGTCAAAGCTGTGAGAACAAGGACAGCTCAAATGGTTAATTCTCGATCATACAAGCCTCAGAGCGATTGTAAAATAAGAGAGCTGTATCCTGAAGTTTTCCCTGTTGAATCAGAAAATAGTTTTCTCCCCCTTGGTATTAGAGATTTTTTTGTAAACACATTAATGTTGCCTTTCACTTCCCTTTCTGAAATTTTATTTTTCAAAAACACTTAATCCTGCCACTTATATTATTTCCCCCCTCTCAAACTGAAGCTGAATAGTTTTGTGTTAATTCAAGACCTCAGAAATAAAGTAAATCAAGATCATGTGAACATTTTTTTCAGATGTCTGTTTTTAGTTAATGGATGAATAGAGGTGGTATACAATGTGCAGCGTTGGTTCAAACCAGTCCAAATAATCTTAGGCTGAGATACAGGCCTGGTTAAGAAACTATAAGTGGCAGGTTCAGTTGTGGAATTTGATCTGCATGAGTTAATTGGGTAAAGCTGGGTCTTTGGCACGGCAAACCTTGTTTGTCCCTTCCTTGCTCACACATTTCAGCTATGTTGGATTCATAACATGGTACGGATACTGTAAGTCTTGAGGACTTGAAAGTTTCATGTTACTGGCTTCAGTCAGGACACAGAGACAATGAGAGAGAAAGAGGAGGAAGAAGATCAGGTTGTGGATGCCTGTGAGTGGTTGGCGTCATGCTTGGCATAAACACCATCCCAGCTCCGGTGTTATCACTATCAGTGGACTTGGCTCTCATTATTCAGTCTTGACAGTGAGCAAAAGGCTATTTTAGAGAGCAGGGTTATTACTTCATAGCGTTACATGGATTTTCCAGTATTTAAAGGACCACTCTTTTTTTGAATTCCTTTGTTCCCAACATCATGTTGTCTTACAAAACTGTATTGTAACTTCAGTGAATAGGTTAGGGATTTGTGTCCTATACCGTTTTAATCAGGTTGTTTACTGTGATGCAAATAGCATGGAAAATTTTTCTACATTTGTGTTAAAAGTAATACTTTTTCAGATTGACATTTGAAATCTTCTCAGATATTTTTTTCCTGAAGACAGAAAGTCTTTGTTCAGACCTTACATTAGTGTTTCAGATCCAGCAGTTTAGTCATCTTTCTTAGACTTTAATTGTCTTATTTTGTAAGTGTATGTAAATAAAAAGTGTTTACAAATATGGCTGATTACAGACAAATATACAGTTCTTTGAAACTTTCTGAATGGCTGCGCATTTTGATTTGGTAAATTGCAACAGTCAGCAACAGGATGATTTATTCAATTGAAATGACAGTTGAATCACATTCCTGTCAGTGTCTTATGGTGCAATATATTTCAGTGTTTAAGTACAGTCAAATATTGACTGGTTGGTGTTGGTATGATGAACTAGAACATTTGATCAATGCTGAAGCAGAGGAAGAAAAGAACGACCTTGGTTTTTAAACGAACATTTTAGGAAAAATAACATATGATCTGTGGGATCAATGTAAACCACTTTGCACAATAGTATTTGCCAAATGAATGCAAATAAAAACATGCCAACCATTGCAAGCTAGGTAGAAACACATGGCTTAGACAGCTTTGTTTAATTGAAGGTGTGGGTTGAGAAGAGTTTGGTAATAATAAAACAATGGGTTGTCTGTTCCTAGAGCAGGGTGGGTAGAACTGGTCAACATTTTTGAAAAGGCCAGTCTGAGAATCATATAAACAAACCTTAATATCTTGAAATTATTGCATATGTGTTTACTATAGCCCACATCATAATATCAGTAATAGTAAACCTGAGCATGTCTGTAAATCTGCTTGAATTATTACATTATTGTTTCCTTACTAAATAGAATTATGCATCATGGCCAGAAATACACTATCTACTGAACTTAATTACAAACCAAGCATTATATGTTCAATTATTTTTGCATTTCTGATTACCTTGAAAATGATCAATTTTGGGAAGTTGTGGTAGTCATTGAGATACATATATGGTCAACCTAGATTAAAACTGAAACATAGCGGTCATTACTAAGCAGAGTAAGAAGATTGATGTCAGTTGATGTCAGAAAGAATGTGTTGATGAGATAGCATGTACAAACATGCTGCTGTATGAGTTACTGTGTATTTATGAGCCTTTATGTATGTTTTTATAAAGCAAGGCAGCTTAATTATTGTTATTGTTCTCTCTATTGACATTAGAGCTTGGGGATGGGTGCAGTATTGGGCTGCTTTCCTTAGGGCAGGGTGTGGTCTGACTCAAAGCAAATTGCCAAATCACAATGCACCCAGTAGGAAAGGGCATGATGGTTTCTAAAGGGTCTGACATAGTTTTACCACCATCTAGTGTTCACCATAGGGTCATACAAGACAAAACAACTCACATTAATGTTAAATATAGGATTTAGCTTGATTATGATCTGGAATAAAATACTGACAAAAAGTCATGCAATGCTTGTAATTACCTTATAATTAATGATTATTATTGTCTTTTTCTGTCTATGCAGGAAAACAAAGATTTCGTTTTCAACACACCGGGGCTATAGAGGAAAGACAAATCAAGGTATTTTATAAAGTTAAAGTCACAATAAATCCTTTGTATTTCTATAGCTTATCCTGTATACTTTTCTTGCCAACTACAATGTTTGTTTTGTCTCAGATCTCTTATTTTATGGTTATGTCAACAGATGGCTGAAGAGGAGGAGACCAGAGAGGTGCTCTTTCAAGATTGGGAGGGTCCAGACAAATCTGGCTTTACAATTGAACAGACAGGAGGAGATATCTTTGTTGGGGAGGTTAAAGGAGAGTCACCTGCAGCACGTTCTGGAAAAGTATATGAAGGTAGCACATTCTCCTTTTTTGTGTGAATTGGTGTGAATTAAGATTGTTCTCACCTACAAGTTGTTTGTGTTCTTAACAGAAACATTTTCTGCCGTCTCTACAAAATTCATAGGTGACCAGATTGTCGGCGCCACAGTATACTTTGATAACATGAGCTCAGAAGAAACAGCTGAACTACTAAAGACATTGAACCGTCACAAAGTTGGACTGAAGCTGCAAAACAAAGGAGACAAATCCCCTTGCTGCTCTCCCTTGAGCACACCATGTCGTTCACCAATTGGCACCCTGACATGGGAAGGAAAGACCCGGTTTGGAGGTTCCAGTCCAGACATCATCCTTGTAAATTATACTTTTTAAAAATCATTTTATTTTAATTACACAGATTTGTTTATTGGGAAGCTAATGAACAAAATACATATTATGTTAACATTTCTATATTATATAACATCCTGTCTTTTATATCAACAGGGTGGGGAGGATGAAGACTACAAAAGAATATACACAAAAAAGATTAAACCCAGGCTGAAGTCTGAAGACCTTGCAGAAGGCGTGGATGTTCGCACAGAGCGGCATAGCAGCACAAGCAGCGATGGAAGCACAATTACTACCGTCACCCGCCGCATCACGACCTACACTGTGGATATGCCGGGTGGCATAAGTGAGCAACTTGAACTTTCAAGCCCAGAGTTCAAGGGGCTAAGGCAAGAATCTGGTGATGGCTCTTCTCATACCATAATCTCACATGGCAGCCCTGCAGGTAAAGTGGGAGCAGAGGGGAACGTTTTTGACTCAAGCAATGTCTCTTACACTGGGCCACAAGTTGGCTCCATAGAGACACGCTGGGGTACTGGGGGAGTTCAGACCACAAGAACTTCAGGAGAGGTAGAAGGTCTCAGATTTAAAGGGCCTAACTTTGGAGGATCAGGGAGCCAGGGGGGCTGTGAGATTTCAAGTCGGAGTGGAGAGCAAGTTGATGGAGGCATGCAGGTGTTAGGAACAAGCATGACAGTAAGAGACAGCGCAAACACCGATAAGCATGTTGCAATAGGAGGGTTCGGGGGTGGAGATGAGAATGGAGGGTTAACTAATCTGTCTTCACCAGGAAAGAGCATGAAGATTTCGACTTCATCCAAAACACAGGAGGGAAGTGTTGACACCAGTTTAGGTGAGAAGAAAAAGTTAAAGGTATCTGAAATCAGTTACCCGCAGGCAAAGGGATCAGGCCGTTTGGACAATTTGAATGTCCGACTTGAAGGAGGTTCCATATGTGTTGATAATGAATTGAGCGATGGCAGGATAGGAGGATCGGCAATACAAAAAAGCAATGTCACCTCTGGATTTTCATCAGGGCCAGGAAAGATTTCAATGGCAGGGGTGGATGTCGATCTTACAGGTTCAAAGTTGAAAGGTGAGCTTGATGTTGAACTGCCAAGCACAAAGGTTCAAATTCCATCCCTATCTGGGCCAAATAAAGATGTAAACCTAAGGGGTTCCAAAGTAGAGGGGAATATTGATGTTACAGTGACTGAGGGAGGAATAAAGACAGACAACATAGACATTAAAAGTCCCACTTTTAATATTAAGGAGAAAGAAGGAGATTCAAAAATGCCTCAGATAAAGATATCATCATTTGGGGTCAAGGGAACAAAAGTTGATGGTGGGAAGTCTGATGTAAAAGTGGAAGGAGCGAAAATCAAGATACAATCATTTGGCTTCACAGGTCAGAAGGTGGAAGCTTCAGATGTTGATGTAAAACTTGCCAAACCTGAAATTGATGTCAGGGTACCTGAGGTTGATATCAATGCATCCAAAGTTAATGTTAAAAGCCCATATGTAGACATTAATGCTTCCAAAGTGGATATTGACTATGAGGGACCTCGAGGTGGATTTAACCAGTCAAAATGTACAATGCCATCCATTGGCATGAAAAGTCAGGAATTGGAAGCTCCCAAAATAAAAGGGAATGTGGACGTGTCAGTGCCAAAGATATTTGGGTTGAAAGCTCCAAAAGTGGAGGGTCCAGATGTTGATGTTAACCTTCCTAAAGGTAACATTGATTTGAAAGCACCTGGAGTGGACATTAAAGGTCCACAGGTTGAAATGCCTAAATTCAAAATACCGTCCTTTGGCATAAAAACTCCAAATGTTGAAGGATCAGAGGGTGATGTCACCCTCTCAAAAGTTGACATTGAAATGAAGGCCCCTGACATGGACGTGAAAGGACCAGATTTTGACGACAAAAGTACAAGTGGTAAAATCAGAGGACCAGCATTCAAACTGCCCAGCATTTCTGGACCAACAATTCCAGATATGGATTTACACCTCAAAGGTCCCAAAGTCAAGGGGGATGTCGATGTGTCATCTTCAAAAGTTGAAGGAGACATTTTTGATATTAACCTGAAAGGCCCTAAAATCAAAGGGGATGTGAAGGTGTCAGTGCCAAAGATATCAGCTGACATAAAAAGACCTGAAGTTAAAATCAAAGGTCCAGGAGTTGACATTGAAGGGCCAAAGGGTAGATTTGAAATGCCAAAACCCAAAATGCCATCATTAGGGTTAAAAGGTACAAAAGTGGAAGGTCCAGATGTTGATGTTAACTTTCCTAAAGCTGACTTTCATGTGAAAGCACCTGAAGTTGACATTGGAGGTCCAGAAGTTCATATTGAAGGAGTAGATGTTGATGGCCAAAAAGGAACGTTCAAAATGCCGAAAATCCAAATGCCATCATTTGGCTTGAAAGGTCCAAAAGTGGAGGGTACAGACATTGATATTAAACTTCCCAAAGCTGAAATTGATGTTAAAGGACCCGAAGTTGACCTCAAAGGACTAGATGTCAATGTTGAAGGTCCTGATGCAAAATTAAAAGGAACCAATATCAAACTGGCCAGCATTTCTGGACCGAAAATTCCCATGCCAAATGTGGATTTCAACCTGAAAAGCCCCAAACTCAAAGGCGATGTGGACATGTCAATGCCAAAGATAAAAGGAGACATAAAAACAACCAATGTTGAAATCAAAGGTCCAGGAGTTGACATTGAAGGTCCAAAGGGTAGATTTGAAATGCCAAAACCCAAAATGCCATCATTTGGGTTAAAAGTTACAAAAGTGGAGGGTCCAGACGTTGATGTTAACTTTCCTAAAGCTGACTTTCATGTGAAAGCACCTGAAGTTGATATTGGAGGTCCAAAAGTTCATATTGAAGGAGTAGATGTTGATGGCCAAAAAGGAACATTCAAAATGCCGAAAATCCAAATGCCATCATTTGGCTTGAAAGGTCCAAAAGTGGAGGTTCCAGACATTGATATTAAACTTCTCAAAGCTGAAATTGATGTTAAAGGACCCGAAGTTTACCTCAAAGGACTAGATGTCAATGTTGAAGGTCCTGATGCAAAATTAAAAGGATCCAAAATCAATCTGCCCAGCATTCCTAGCCCGAAAATTCCCATGCCAGATGTGGATTTCAACCTGAAAAGCCCCAAACTCAAAGGCGATGTGGACATGTCAATGCCAAAGATAAAAGGAGACATAAACAGACCTGAAGTTGACATCAAATGTCCAGATGTTGACATTGAAGGGCCAAAGGGTAGATTTGAAATGCCTAACATCAAAATGTCATCGTTTGGCTTGAAAGGTCCAAAAGTGGAGGGTCAAGACATTAATATTAACCTTCCCAAAGCTGATATTGATGTTAATGCCCCTCACTTGGATATTAAAGGACCAGATGTCGACATTGAAAGTACAAGTGGTAAATCCAAAGGTCACAAATTCAAAATGCCAACCATTTCAGGACCAAATCTCTCCATGCCAAATGTTGATTTTAACCTGAAAGGCCCCAAACTCAAAGGCGATATGGACATGTCAATGCCAAAGATGAAAGGAGACATACAAACACCTGAAGTTGACATTACAGGTCCAGCGGTTGACATTGAAGGGACAAAGAGTAGCTTTAAAATGCCTCACATCAAAATGCCATCATGGAACATCAAAGGTTCCAAGTGTGAAGGTCCAGAAGTTGATATAAACCTTCCTGAAGCGAATATTGATGTTAAAACACCTGATGTTGACATAACAGGTCCAGCGGTTGATGTTGAAGGGCCAAAAGGTGGCTTTGAAATGCCGAAAATCAAAATGCCATCATTTGGCTTGAAAGGACCAAAAGTGGAGGGTACAGACATTAATATTAACCTTCCCAAAGCTGAAATTGATGTTAATGCCCCTCACTTGGATATGAAAGGACCAGATGTCGACATTGAAAGTCCAAGTGGTCAAATCAAAGGTCACAAATTCAAAATGCCAACCATTTCAGGACCAAATCTCTCGATGCCAGATGTTGATTTTAACCTGAAAGGCCCCAAACTCAAAGGCGATGTGGACATGTCAATGCCAAAGATAAAAGGAGACATAAAAACAACTGAAGTTGACATCAAATGTCCAGATGTTGACATTGAAGGGACAAAGAGTGGCTTTAAAATGCCTAACATCCACATGCCATCATGGAACATCAAAGGTCCAAAGTGTGAAGGTCCAGATGTTGATATAAACCTTCCTGAAGCGAACATTGATGTTAAAACACCGGATTTTGACATTAAAGGGCCCAACATAAAGGGAGATCTGGATTTCTCCGTTCCAACGATTAAGGGTAACATAAAATCTCCCAAGATGGATATTGAAGGACCAGAAGTTGACATTGATGGCGACAAAGGAAGATTCAGAATGCCAACATTTAAAGTGCCATCCTTTGGGTTGAAAGGCCCACATGTTGAAGGACCCGACATTGATGTCAGCATCCCAAAAGCTGATATTGATGTTAATGCCTCTCACTTGGATATTAAAGGACCAGATGTCGACATTGAAAGTCCAAGTGGTAAAATCAAAGGTCACAAATTCAAAATGCCAACCATTTCAGGACCAAATCTCTCCATGCCAGATGTTGACATTACAGGTCCAGCGGTTGATGTTGAAGGGCCAAAAGGTGGCTTTGAAATGCCGAAAATTAAAATGCCATCATTTGGCTTGAAAGGTCCAAAAGTGGAGGTTCCAGACATTAATATTAACCTTCCTAAAGCTGAAATTGATGTTAAAGGACCTGAAGTTGACCTCAAAGGGCTAGATGTCAATGTTGAAGGTCCTGATGCAAAATTAAAAGGATCCAAAATCAATCTGCCCAGCATTTCTAGACCAAAAATGTCCATGCCAGATGTGGATTGCAACCTGAAAGGCCCCAAACTCAAAGGCGATATGGAGATGTCAATGCCAAAGATAAAAGGAGACTTACAAACACCTGAAGTTGACATCAAATGTCCAGATGTTGACATTGAAGGGACAAAGAGTAGCTTTAAAATGCCTCACATCAAAATGCCATCATGGAACATCAAAGGTTCCAAGTGTGAAGGTACAGAAGTTGATATAAACCTTCCTGAAGTGAATATTGATGTTAAAACACCTGATGTTGACATAACAGGTCCAGCGGTTGATGTTGAAGGGCCAAAAGGTGGCTTTGAAATGCCGAACATCAAAATGCCATCATTTGGCTTGAAAGGACCAAAAGTGGAGGGTCCAGACATTAATATTAACCTTCCCAAAGCTGAAATGGATGTTAATGCCCCTCACTTGGATATTAAAGGACTAGATGTCGACATTGAAAGTCCAAGTGGTCAAATCAAAGGTCACAAATTCAAAATGCCGACCATTTCAGGACCAAATCTCTCAATGTCAGATGTTGATTTTAACCTGAAAGGCCCCAAACTCAAAGGCGATATGGACATGTCAATGCCAAAGATAAAAGGAGACATACAAACACCTGAAGTTGACATCAAATATCCAGATGTTGACATTGAAGGGACAAAGAGTGGATTTAAAATGCCTAACATCCACATGCCATCATGGAACATCAAAGGTCCAAAGTTTGAAGGTTCGGAAGTTGGTATAAACCTTCCTGAAGCGAACATTGATGTTAAAACACCGGATGTTGACATTAAAGGGCCCAACATAAAGGGAGATCTGGATTTCTCCGTTCCAAAGATTAAGGGTAACATAAAATCTCCCAAGATGGATATTGAAGGACCAGAAGTTGACTTTGATGGCGACAAAGGAAGATTCAGATTGCCTACATTTAAAATGCCAGCATTTGGAGGAAAAGGTCCACATGTTGAAGGACCAGACATTGATATCAACATCCCAAAAGCTGATATTGATGTTAATGCCCCTCACTTGGATATTAAAGGACCAGATGTCGACATTGAAAGTCCAAGTGGTAAAATCAAAGGTTCCACATTTAAAAAGCCAAGGATTTCAGGGCCGAACATCTCAATGCCAGATGTTGATCTTAAGCTGAAAGGCCCGAAACTCAAAGGTGATGTGGACAAGTCAATGACAAAGATAAAAGGAGTCATAAAAACACCTGAAGTTGAAATCAATGCTCCAGCAGTTGATATTGAAGTGCCAAAGAGTGACTTTAAAAGGCCTAAAACTGAACTTAAGGGACCAGATGCTACAATTGACGCGCCAGAAATAGGCGGGAAGAAAAGTAAATTTAAAATGCCAAAGTTTGGATTTAAGAGCCCTAAGATAAAGACCCCAGAAACCAATGTTGAAATAGTAAAAGGGGATATCAGCATCAAAGGGAAATCTGGTAGCTATGAAGGTTTTGATTCTGACCTTGGATTGACTAGTCCGAAAACTAAAGGATCCAAATTCAAGATGCCAAAATTTGGTTTCAAAGGCCCCAAAATTGAAATGCCTGAGGTTGATATTAATCTTCCCAAAGCTGGCATTGATATTACAACTCCAAATGTTGAAAGTGAAGGACCAGATGTTAAAATGAAGGGAACAAAACTGAAAATGCCAACCATCTCAGGAACAAAAATGGACATGCCAGATGTTGATTTTAACCTGAAACGCCCCAAACTCAAAGGCGATTTGGACATGTCAATGCCAAAGATAAAAGGAGACATAAAAACACCTGATGTTGACATTACAGGTCCAGCGGTTGATGTTGAAGGGCCAAAAGGTGGCTTTGAAATGCCGAAAATCAAAATGCCATCGTTTGGCTTGAAAGGTACACAAGTGGAGGGTCCAGATATTAATATTAACCTTCCCAAAGCTGATATTGATGTTAAAGCGCCTGGCTTGGATATCAAAGGACCAGGTTTTGACATTGAAAGTCCAAGTGGTAAAGTCAAAGGTCATACCTTCAAAATGCCAACCATTTCAGTTCCAAACATCTCCATGCCAAATGTTGATTTTAACCTGAAAGGCCCCAAACTCAAAGGCGATGTGGACATGTCAATGCCAAAGATAAAAGGAGACATAAAAACACCTGAAGTTGACATAAAATGTCCAGATGTTGACATTGAAGGGACAAAGAGTGGCTTTAAAATGCCTAACATCCACATGCCATCATGGAACATCAAAGGTCCAAAGTTTGAAGGCCCAGAAGTTGATATCAACCTTCCTGAAGCAAACATTGATGTTAAAACACCGGATGTTGACATTAAAGGGCCCAACATAAAGGGAGATCTGGATTTCTCCATTCCAAAGATTAAGGGTAACATAAAAGCTCCCAAGATGGATATTGAAGGACCAGAAGTTGACTTTGATGGCGACAAAGGAAGATTCACAATGCCTACATTTAAAATGCCATCCTTTGGGTTGAAAGGTCCACATGTTGAAGGACCAGACATTGATGTCAGCATCCCAAAAGCTGATATTGATGTTAATGCCCCTCACTTGGATATTAAAGGACCAGATATCGACATTGAAAGTCCAAGTGGTAAAATCAAAGGTCACAAATTCAAACTGCCAACCATTTCAGGACAAAATCTCTCCATGCCAAATGTTGATTTTAACCTGAAAGGCCCCAAACTCAAAGGCGATGTGGACATGTCAATGCCAAAGATAAAAGGAGACATAAAAACACCTGAAGTTGACATTACAGGTCCAGCGGTTGACATTGAAGGGACAAAGAGTGGCTTTAAAATGCCTAACATCCACATGCCATCATGGAACATCAAAGGTCCAAAGTTTGAAGGCCCAGAAGTTGATATCAACCTTCCTGAAGCGAACATTGATGTTAAAACACCTGATGTTGACATTAAAGGGCCCAACATAAAGGGAGATCTGGATTTCTCCATTCCAAAGATTAAGGGTAACATAAAAGCTCCCAAGATGGATATTGAAGGACCAGAAGTTGACTTTGATGGCGACAAAGGAAGATTCACAATGCCTACATTTAAAATGCCATCCTTTGGGTTGAAAGGCCCACATGTTGAAGGACCAGACATTGATGTCAGCATCCCAAAAGCTGATATTGATGTTAATGCCCCTCACTTGGATATTAAAGGACCAGATGTCGACATTGAAAGTCCAAGTGGTAAAATCAAAGGTCACAAATTCAAAATGCCAACCATTTCAGGACCAAATCTCTCTATGCCAAATATTGATTTTAACCTGAAAGGCCCCAAACTGAAAGGCGATATTGACATGTCAATGCCAAAGATAAAAGGAGACATAAAAACACCTGATGTTGACATTACAGGTCCAGCGGTTGATGTTGAAGGGCCAAAAGGCGGCTTTGAAATGCCGAAAATCAAAATGCCATCGTTTGGCTTGAAAGGTCCAAAGGTGGAGGGTCCAGACATTAATATTAACCTTCCCAAAGCTGATATTGATGTTAAAGCGCCTGACTTGGACATCAAAGGACCAGGTTTTGACATTGAAAGTCCAAGTGGTAAAGTCAAAGGTCATACCTTCAAAATGCCAACCATTTCAATGCCAAACATCTCCATGCCAAATGTTGATTTTAACCTGAAAGGCCCCAAACTCAAAGGCGACGCGGACATGTCAATGCCAAAGATAAAAGGAGACATAAAAACACCTGAAGTTGACATCAAATGTCCAGATGTTGACATTGAAGGGACAAAGAGTGGCTTTAAAATGCCTAACATCCACATGCCATCATGGAATATCAAAGGTCCAAAGTTTGAAGGTCCAGAAGTTGATATCAACCTTCCTGAAGCGAACATTGATGTTAAAACACCGGATGTTGACATTAAAGGGCCCAACATAAAGGGAGATCTGGATTTCTCCGTTCCAAAGATTAAGGGTAACATAAAAGCTCCCAAGATGGATATTGAAGGACCAGAAGTTGACTTTGATGGCGACAAAGGAAGATTCACAATGCCTACATTTAAAATGCCATCCTTTGGGTTGAAAGGCCCACATGTTGAAGGACCAGACATTGATGTCAGCATCCCAAAAGCTGATATTGATGTTAATGCCCCTCACTTGGATATTAAAGGACCAGATGTCGACATTGAAAGTCCAAGTGGTAAAATCAAAGGTCACAAATTCAAAATGCCAACCATTTCAGGACCAAATCTCTCCATGCCAAATGTTGATTTTAACCTGAAAGGCCCCAAACTGAAAGGCAATATGGACATGTCAATGCCAAAGATAAAAGGAGACATAAAAACACCTGATGTTGACATTACAGGTCCAGTGGTTGATGTTGAAGGGCCAAAAGGTGGCTTTGAAATGCCGAAAATCAAAATGCCATCGTTTGGCTTGAAAGGTCCGAAGGTGGAGGGTCCAGATATTAATATTAACCTTCCCAAAACTGATATTGATGTTAAAGCGCCTGACTTGGATATCAAAGGACCAGGTTTTGACATTGAAAGTCCAAGTGGTAAAGTCAAAGGTCATACCTTCAAAATGCCAACCATTTCAATGCCAAACATCTCCATGCCAAATGTTGATTTTAACCTGAAAGGCCCCAAACTCAAAGGCGATGTGGACATGTCAATGCCAAAGATAAAAGGAGACATAAAAACACCTGACGTTGACATCAAATGTCCAGATGTTGACATTGAAGGGACAAAGAGTGGCTTTAAAATGCCTAACATCCACATGCCATCATGGAACATCAAAGGTCCAAAGTTTGAAGGTCCAGAAGTTGATATAAACCTTCCTGAAGCAAACATTGATGTTAAAACACCGGATGTTGACATTAAAGGGCCCAACATAAAGGGAGATCTGGATTTCTCCATTCCAAAGATTAAGGGTAACATAAAAGCTCCTAAGATGGATATTGAAGGACCAGAAGTTGACTTTGATGGCGACAAAGGAAGATTCACAATGCCTACATTTAAAATGCCATCCTTTGGGTTGAAAGGCCCACATGTTGAAGGACCAGACATTGATGTCAGCATCCCAAAAGCTGATATTGATGTTAATGCCCCTCACTTGGATATTAAAGGACCAGATGTCGACATTGAAAGTCCAAGTGGTAAAATCAAAGGTCATACCTTCAAAATGCCAACCATTTCAATGCCAAACATCTCCATGCCAAATGTTGATTTTAACCTGAAAGGCCCCAAACTCAAAGGCGATGTGGATATGTCAATGCCAAAGATAAAAGGAGACATAAAAACACCTGACGTTGACATCAAATGTCCAGATGTTGACATTGAAGGGACAAAGAGTGGCTTTAAAATGCCTAACATCCACATGCCATCATGGAACATCAAAGGTCCAAAGTTTGAAGGTCCAGAAGTTGATATAAACCTTCCTGAAGCGAACATTGATGTTAAAACACCAGATATTGACATTAAAGGGCCCAACATAAAGGGAGATCTGGATTTCTCCGTTCCAAAGATTAAGGGTAACATAAAATCTCCCAAGATGGATATTGAAGGACCAGAAGTTGACTTTGATGGCGACAAAGGAAGATTCACAATGCCTACATTTAAAATGCCATCCTTTGGGTTGAAAGGGCCACATGTTGAAGGACCAGACATTGATGTCAGCATCCCAAAAGCTGATATTGATGTTAATGCCCCTCACTTGGATATTAAAGGACCAGATGTCGACATTGAAAGTCCAAGTGGTAAAATCAAAGGTCACAAATTCAAAATGCCAACCATTTCAGGACCAAATCTCTCCATGCCAAATGTTGATTTTAACCTGAAAGGCCCCAAACTGAAAGGTGATATGGACATGTCAATGCCAAAAATAAAAGGAGACATAAAAACACCTGATGTTGACATAACAGGTCCAGCGGTTGAGTTTGAAGGGCCAAAAGGTGGCTTTGAAATGCCGAAAATCAAAATGCCATCGTTTGGCTTGAAAGGTCCAAAGGTGGACGGTCCAGACATTAATATTAACCTTCCCAAAGCTGATATTGATGTTAAAGCGCCTGACTTGGACATCAAAGGACCAGGTTTTGACATGGAAAGTCCAAGTGGTAAAATCAAAGGTCACACATTCAAAATGCCAACCATTTCAATGCCAAACATCTCCATGCCAAATGTTGATTTTAACCTGAAAGGCCCCAAACTCAAAGGCGATGTGGACATGTCAATGCCAAAGATAAAAGGAGACATAAAAACACCTGAAGTTGACATAAAATGTCCAGATGTTGACATTGAAGGGACAAAGAGTGGCTTTAAAATGCCTAACATCCACATGCCATCATGGAACATCAAAGGTCCAAAGTTTGAAGGTCCAGAAGTTGATATAAACCTTCCTGAAGCGAACATTGATGTTAAAACACCGGATGTTGATATTAAAGGGCCTAACATAAAGGGAGATCTGGATTTCTCCGTTCCAAAGATTAAGGGTAACATAAAAACTCCCAAGATGGATATTGAAGGACCAGAAGTTGACTTTGATGGCGACAAAGGAAGATTCAAAATGCCTACATTTAAAATGCCATCCTTTGGGTTGAAAGGCCCACATGTTGAAGGACCAGACATTGATGTCAGCATCCCAAAAGTTGATATTGATGTTAATGCCCCTCACTTGGATATTAAAGGACCAGATGTCAACATTGAAAGTCCAAGTGGTAAAATCAAAGGTCACACATTCAAAATGCCAACCATTTCAGGACCAAATCTCTCCATGCCAGATTTAGATTTTAACCTGAAACGCCCCAAACTCAAAGGCGATTTGGACATGTCAATGCCAAAGATAAAAGGAGACATAAAAACACCTGATGTTGACATTACAGGTCCAGCGGTTGATGTTGAAGGGCCAAAAGGTGGCTTTGAAATGCCGAAAATCAAAATGCCATCGTTTGGCTTGAAAGGTACACAAGTGGAGGGTCCAGATATTAATATTAACCTTCCCAAAGCTGATATTGATGTTAAAGCGCCTGGCTTGGATATCAAAGGACCAGGTTTTGACATTGAAAGTCCAAGTGGTAAAGTCAAAGGTCATACCTTCAAAATGCCAACCATTTCAGTTCCAAACATCTCCATGCCAAATGTTGATTTTAACCTGAAAGGCCCCAAACTCAAAGGCGATGTGGACATGTCAATGCCAAAGATAAAGGAGACATAAAAACACCTGAAGTTGACATCAAATGTCCAGATGTTGACATTGAAGGGACAAAGAGTGGCTTTAAAATGCCTAACATCCACATGCCATCATGGAACATCAAAGGTCCGAAGTTTGAAGGTCCAGAAGTTGATATAAACCTTCCTGAAGCGAACATTGATGTTAAAACACCGGATGTTGACATTAAAGGGCCCAACATAAAGGGAGATCTGGATTTCTCGATTCCAAAGATTAAGGGTAACATAAAATCTCCCAAGATGGATATTGAAGGACCAGAAGTTGACTTTGATGGCGACAAAGGAAGATTCAAAATGCCTACATTTAAAATGCCATCCTTTGGGTTGAAAGGCCCACATGTTGAAGGACCAGACATTGATGTCAGTATCCCAAAAGCTGATATTGATGTTAATGCCCCTCACTTGGATATTAAAGGACCAGATGTCAACATTGAAAGTCCAAGTGGTAAAATCAAAGGTCACAAATTCAAAATGCCAACCATTTCAGGACCAAATCTCTCCATGCCAAATGTTGATTTTAACCTGAAAGGCCCCAAACTCAAAGGCGATGTGGACATGTCAATGCCAAAGATAAAAGGAGACATAAAAACACCTGAAGTTGACATCAAATGTCCAGATGTTGACATTGAAGGGACAAAGAGTGGCTTTAAAATGCCTAACATCCACATGCCATCATGGAACATCAAAGGTCCACAGTTTGAAGGTCCAGAAGTTGATATAAACCTTCCTGAAGCGAACATTGATGTTAAAACACCTGATGTTGACATTAAAGGGCCCAACATAAAGGGAGATCTGGATTTCTCCGTTCCAAAGATTAAGGGTAACATAAAAGCTCCCAAGATTGATATTGCAGAACCAGATGTTGAAATTGATGGCCACAAAGGAAGATTTAAAATGCCTAAATTTAAAATGCCATCTTTTGGAGGGAAAGGACCACGTGTTGAAGGACCAGAAGTTGATGTTGATCTTAATGCCCCTAACTTGGATATCAAAGGACCAGGTTTTGACATTGAAAGTCCAAGTGGTAAAACCAAAGGTCACACATTCAAAGTTCCAAGCTTTTCAGGGCCAAAAATCTCCATGCCAGATGTGGATTTTAACCTGAAAGGCCCCAAAATCAAAGGCGATGTAGACATGTCAGTGCCAAAGATATCCGGAGGAATAAAAACACCGGAGCTTGACATCAAATGTCCAGAGGTTGATATTAAAGGTCCAAAGGGTCAATTTGAAATGTCTAAATTCAAAATGCCATCATGGAACACCCAAGGTCCCAAACTTGACGCTCCTGAAGTTGATATAAAGGGAGATTTGGATGTATCAGGTCGTAAGATTGAGGGTAACATAAGAACCCCCAAGATGGATATTGAAGGACCAGATGTTGACTTTGATGGCGTCAAAGGTGGATTTAAAAGACCTACATTTAAAATGCCATCCTTTGGGTTTAAAGGTCCAAATATTGAAGGACCAGAAGTTGATGTCAGCATCCCAAAAGCTGATATTAATGTAAATGCCCCTGATTTGGAAATAAAAGGACCAGATTTTGACATTCAAAGTCCAAGTGGTAAAGTCAAAGGTCACACATTCACAATGCCAAGCATTTCAGGGCCGAACATCTCCATGCCTGATTTTGATTTTAATATGAAAGGCCCCAAACTCAAAGGCGATGTTGACATGTCAATGCCAAAGATAAAAGGAGATATAAAAACACCTGAAGTTGACATCAACGCTCCAGCGGTTGATATTGAAGGGACAAAAGGTGGCTTTGAAATGCCGAAAATCAAAATGCCATCGTTTGGCTTGAAAGGTCCAAAGGTGGAGGGTCCAGACATTAATATTAACCTTCCCAAAGCTGATATTGATGTTGAAGCGCCTGACTTGGACATCAAAGGACCAGGTTTTGACATTGAAAGTCCAAGTGGTAAAATCAAAGGTCATACCTTCAAAATGCCAACCATTTCAATGCCAAACATCTCCATGCCAAATGTTGATTTTAACCTGAAAGGCCCCAAACTCAAAGGTGATGTGGACATGTCAATGCCAAAGATAAAAGGAGACATAAAAACACCTGAAGTTGACATAAAATGTCCAGATGTTGACATTGAAGGGACAAAGAGTGGCTTTAAAATGCCTAACATCCACATGCCATCATGGAACATCAAAGGTCCAAGGTTTGAAGGTCCAGAAGTTGATATAAACCTTCCTGAAGCGAACATTGATGTTAAAACACCGGATGTTGACATTAAAGGGCCCAACATAAAGGGAGATCTGGATTTCTCCATTCCAAAGATTAAGGGTAACATAAAAGCTCCCAAGATGGATATTGAAGGACCAGAAGTTGACTTTGATGGCGACAAAGGAAGATTCAAAATGCCTACATTTAAAATGCCATCCTTTGGGTTGAAAGGCCCACATGTTGAAGGACCAGACATTGATGTCAGCATCCCAAAAGCTGATATTGATGTTAATGCCCCTCACTTGGATATTAAAGGACCAGATGTCGACATTGAAAGTCCAAGTGGTAAAATCAAAGGTCACACATTCAAAATGCCGACCATTTCAGGACCAAATCTCTCCATGCCAGATTTTGATTTTAACCTGAAAGGCCCCAAAATGAAAGGCGATATGGACATGTCAATGCCAAAGATAAAAGGAGACATAAAAACACCTGATGTTGACATTACAGGTCCAGCGGTTGATGTTGAAGGGCCAAAAGGTGGCTTTGAAATGCCGAAAATCAAAATGCCATCGTTTGGCTTGAAAGGTACAAAAGTGGAGGGTCCAGACATTAATATTAACCTTCCCAAAGCTGATATTGATGTTAAAGCGCCTGACTTGGATATCAAAGGACCAGGTTTTGACATTGAAAGTCCAAGTGGTAAAGTCAAAGGTCACACATTCAAAATGCCAACCATTTCAGGACCAAATCTTTCCATGCCTGATGTTGATTTTAACCTGAAAGGCCCCAAACTCAAAGGCGATGTTGACATGTCAATGCCAAAGATAAAAGGAGACATACAAACACCTGCAGTTGAAATAAAAGCTCCAGCGGTTGATATTGAAGGGCTGAAAGGTGGAATTAAAATGCCAAAAATCCAAATTCCATCATTTGGCTTCGAAGGTCCAAAAGTTGAGGTTCCAGATGTTGATATAAACCTTCCCAGAGCAGACATTGATGTGAAAGCACCTAAAGTTGATATCAATCTGAGAGGTCCCACAATCAAAGGTGATGTGGGAGTGTCAGTGCCAAAGATAGAGGGAGACATAGAAAAACCTGCTGTTGACATCAAAGGTCCACAGGTCGATTTTAAAGTTCCTAAGGGGGGATTTACAATGCCTACAATGAACATGCCATCACTTAACATTAAAGATCCAAAGGTTGAGGGTTCAGCCTTCAACATAAACATTCCCAAAGGAAACATTGATGTGAAAGCACCTGATGTTGATTTCAAAGTGAAAGGTCAAAAAGTCAAAGGAAAAATAGATGCATCCTTGCCCAAATTGGATTCAGATATCAAAGGTCCAACCATCACTATGGAAAGTGTGTCTATTGATTCTGAAAAGACAGGTATAACATTTCCCAAGTTCAAAGGTCCTAAGTTTGGAATGAAATCCCCAGAAGTGGAGGGGAAAACACTCATGTACAGTGTGGAAGCAAAAGGTTCCAAAACAGAACTAAGTCTGCCAGGTAGTGACACAGGTTCTCTTGATGCCCCTGACATTAATATCAACTTTAAGGGGAAGAAGGGGAAATTCAAACTTCCAAAAGTGAAAGGAAAGGCAAAGAAACCCGAAGGTGATATAGAAACGCCTGCAGTAGACCTGGATGTAGACACACCCAATATTCAAGTCAAGGGAACAAAGGTAAAGAAGCCGCGTTTTGGTAAGCTTCATTTTCCTGATGTGGAATTAGATATGAAATCTCCAAAATTGAAAGGTGATGGATCTTTACCAGAGGGCATTGACAGTCCAAATATTCATTTGGGAGGGACGGATATGACATTTAAGACTCCTAATATTAAAATGCCAAATGTGAATGTAGCTTCTGATGTCGATACAAATTTGAACAGAGAGGCAACTATGTCTGTAGGTTTTAAAGGCCCAAACAGAAATGTGAGCTCTGGTGCAGAGCTTGATGCAAGTGCTTCAGGCCGCAGTGGAAGTGGTGGCCTTCATTACCCAGGAGGTACTGTAACATTTCCTAAAATCAAGGTACCACAATTTGGCATTATTCAGCCTCAGGAGGAAGTCCAGGGAGGTGAAGGAAGTTGGCAAGTTAGTTCACCAAATATTGAGGTTCCCAGTCCAGAACTTAGGCAAAGAGAAGGCAAAATAAGGGTAAAGATGCCAACATTCTTTGGCAAATCTAAAGCAAAGGGTAGTAGTGCGGGTGACCTTCGAGGACCAGAGGTAGGGTTGAGTACAAGTGGAAAAGGCGGTAAGGTACATACTGGGGGACTGACGGCTGGAAAATTAGAATTTGAGGGTGATCCTGGGCTCAGTGTGTCAGCTAAAGGAAAGTCAGCCTCACTAGATCTATTTAAGAAATCAAAGCATCGCTCTTCTTCTCTGAGTGATGAGGGGGGGCCTGCAGTGAGTTCTCCTTCAGCTCACTTAGAAGCTGAGGGTGGCGACATTTCATTAGACCTAGGAGAAAGCAAGGTCAAAGGAAAGAAAGGCAAGTTGAAGTTTGGCACCTTTGGAGGTTTTGGTGCAAAGTCAAAGGGCTCATATGAAGTGTCACTTGGTGGGGAGGGTGAAGCAGGTGCAGGTGTTTCTTTACCCTCTAAGACATCGAGATTGTCTTCATCCTCCAGCAGTGACAGTGGTTCGAGAGGTGGTTTCAGGTTCCCAAGACTTGAACTCTCTGTTTCACCAAAAAAATGATGAACAAATTAATAATGAGATAAATGAAACCCTCTCATGTACACCCAAATAGATTCACCTAACATGGAGATTTTTTAAAAAGATTTTAAGAATCAGTCACACAGTCATCTCAATTATGGTTAACTATGAGTAGTTACTTTTTTCAATGAATAGACAAGAGTGCATGAGATTGTTTAAAATCCCTTATCACTGTAAATAAGATTAAATTGTATTGTGATAATAACTTTTGTTTTTGTTTGTACATAGTCCAGATTTATTGAACATATGCCATATCATCCCATTCTCACAGGTAGTTTTAGTATTACAGGGTGGTCTTTTGTCCTATTGCATTATATTAAATTAATGGTATTAATGAATGGGTGTGGAATATTTGTATCCACAGAACATATAGTTACGATTGTTTTTGTGAAGGAAAATGTTGTTTATACACAGACACAAATGCAAACAGTTATCAGTTTTTTTGTGTATTAAATGATTTAATTTTCAAGCTTTTGTTATTATATAATCAGTGCAAAGGCTATTTAGGAAACATCTAACTGGCACTTTCTAACACAATCCAAAGAATAATGGTGTTGTATATTCCTTAATTACAGAGACAAATCCTGTTTGAACTACCAACTCTCTGAAATGCTGTCATTACTTTACTGTTAATTTTGAAATAAACTTTATTAACCCTCAGAATCTGTACCATTTACAAAAAGTATGCAACGTATTAAACATATTTGCTTCCTATTCATGTGTCATTTTTATTCTGACCTGTTTTATTATCCTCTGTATTTTTTTTCTGTCACTCTCTTTGTACACAAACCTAATGATTATGTAATAAGATGTCACAAATAAAATCACTTTTTGATTGCGAACAGAATCAGTGTTGATTGAGAGTTGCTTAGTTTTTTATCAGGTTTGAGATTTTACATTGTTCTTGTTATCAATATTTGCCATTGCTTTAATCATGTGATAGGATACATGCAATATATGATTTAGTTTTGATTTCTGTAAGGCTGCACTGTATTTCTCTTATCCACATTTGTAACATATGCCTACCTTGTGGATGGTGAGCAAAACATTCAAAACCTCCAATGGAACAATTCAGTTGGTTCTCTCCACTACCCATACTGTTACGATTTACCACCGGAGTACGTTAGGTCTTTTCAACAGCGATTGCCAGAAGAAGTACTCAGATATTTTATTTAAGCAAAAGTAGCAATTGCACATTTTAAAAACACTCTTTAACAAGTTACAGTTCTGCATCAAAACATATTTATGAACGTAAAAGTACTTGTTATGCATAACGGCCCATTTCAGAATCATATAAACCACAATATTATGATTATTGATGCATACATGGGTCTATCACTGCTGGTAAAGGTGGAACTCAATTTCTTTACTTTATATACTGCTGCCAGATGAACTCCCATATCGATAATAGTATTACAAACTTGAAAAATATCCCTTTAAGGTACATTTAAAACAGATACACATGTGCGTTTAATTTGAGTTATGTCAAAATTAAGTTAACTATGGACATCATGCGATTAATTGCATTTCAATCGTTTAAACGATTGACAAAAAATGTACATTAGTTATCATCAAGCAATTAATCTAACTTTAATTGTTATTTATAATTTTGAGACATACTTAGCCTTGATATCGGTGAGGTCACCACTGCACCTCACCTCATGTACCCACCAACTAAGTCAATTTACTCAAGCACTGTACTCAACTACTTTACTTATTTCATTTAGATGCCACTTTGTACTTTTACTCTACCCTACAATTCAGAGGTTAATCGTGTATTTTAAGTCCAACATATTTATTTTAGTAACATTGCAGATTTGGATAACGATGTGAAATATAAACAAACCTTAAATCAGACTTTAGTTTTAGTGATTATCAAGTCCCACAAACAATTTAGCAATATATTTGATTGTGGATGCTTGATAAGACTAAACATTAAATCCGTATAAAGCATATTCATTACTCGCTATTCTCTTGGTTCAATAAAGACTGTTGGCTATTTTACATATTTAGATACCCCCGAAGCTTTTTGCCTATTTAAACAAAAAATACCTTAACCTAAAGTATTCTTTAATGTTTAAATAAAGCCTAATTAGTAGGTCTAGCACATCCTCTTATTAATATCTTTGGACGTCCTGCAGTAAACCTTTTCATTGTAGATATAACTTACAGTATCTTTTTGATATTTTTTATTCTATATTTCTATGATTGACCTTCTTCTTGCCCCCTAGTGTGTATCTACACCTATGTTAATTTTGTATCAAATATAACATACTTAACAAAAACATGAAGCAGACATTAGCAATACATCCTCCCTGCATATGACGCTAAAAGAGTCATAACGTGCTTTCGACACTAGGTGGAGCGGGGTAAAAAACTGTCAAGTTTACAGTGTTAACAACATACATTATACACTGCTGAAAAAGCTCAATCTTATTTGATAAAATTGCCTATTTTCCCTAAAGTAAAAGAGACTCATTTTAAAATCCATAAATCTACCCAGTTTCTGAATTTCTGAATTTAAGGTTTTAAACATGTTAACATGTTCTTTTTCTAATTTACAAGTTGAATCATTGGAACATTATTTTTCTCATGCCCTTTTTCTAAATGATTTTAGTCTAATGTGAGGGATTGGTTGTTGCTTAAATTAACAGATATTCATGCCTTCAAAATATGTCACATTTAATTTTAAATTTAAAGTGGACCTATCATGCTATTTTTAGGTAATAGCATAGGTCTCAGATATATAAACAAATGTAAAAAACATGTCTATTTTCACATTCTAGCGCCCTCGAGCTGATTTCTCCAAAATTACCTACCCCACCTTTAAGTTTTTTGCTCAAAAATACCAAACAGATCACCCATTCTAGCCATGCCTCATATCCCTCTATTTCACTTCCTGTTTCAAAAGTGCTGATTCGGGGTATACAGTGGCGTTTTTATATGTACAAATGTGGTGGGGCACAAACAACTTAGATGTCTATATAAGCTTCTGCAGTGAGGTTCATGTGAGGCACTGGCACTGACTCTTCAGGTGTACAAATATTATATTTTGACCTAAATCAACATATAATATTATTTTCAAAAGCTTTTTTTGTCTGATGCTTCGATTAATTTTAAACAGACAGTTCAACAAAAGGATACCCAAAAAATGTAATTTTATCATGTAAATATTGAATTGTTCTCTCAGTAAGATTCCATTTTCAATAAAATTGCGGTCTTACCTTGACTTGAAGATGAAGTCTATTCTGGACAAAAATCTCTATTACTTTTTTGTAAAAGTCCCCCTTATCTTCTTGTAGTTTCAAAAGTCTATCATAAATCGAATCGATAGATTTATGATTCGAAAATTATAAAAGTAGGGTAGACATGTGGATATTATCCGGCTGAACAAAACGTGCATTTATCTAACAGGTACGTTTCCCACAGATCTTATTTGGAGCTATTTTCTAAAATCCTATGGAGAAATCTCATTGCTTTTTTGTGGAGGGAAGCCATGCGCAGCTTACTTCCGGGTTTTAGGACGCGTCTCGTCTCCTATTCACACACCACACTTTTCGCGGCACACGTACTTACAGCCAATCAGCTCTGAATTATGTGAGATGACGTATGGTGGGGATGGCAGCTCAGTGCCCCTATGGCAGTCAGTAGCGTGGCGTGGGGAAAAATGTAGGGGAAGCCCATTTTGTGGTCAATAACGTAACCAGATGAGTGATTACAGCGCCCGGTATCATTTTACACACATTTGTATCACACAGATGCAGGACTTGCACACGCCTGTTATCTAACCCAGTGGTTCCCAAACGGTGTGCCGCGGCACACTGGTGTGCTGTGAGGCAAGTCTGAGTGTGCCGTGGGATTTTGTGACAACCATACGTTATTATTGCAATATACTACACACATTTTTTTATTTTCTATATCAGTACTTTGTAGGTTTATATGTACGTAATCTGCGCGACTTGTGCGTCCACATCTCCACGTGCAGTGCTGCATAAACATGGCTGAGTCAGCGATAACTTTCGAGGGGTGGAGGTATGCCCATTATTTTGAGTTCGTCCGAAGAATAGACAGGAATGTTACGGTGAGGTGCAAACTGTGTCCAGGCCAGAAGCTGTTATCCACTGCTGGAAACACCACGTCAAACCTCAACAAACACCTGCAAAGAACACATGCTAAGGTGAAGCTACCGCACACGCTATTTGTTATTTGTTTATATCACGTAGTCTGTTCTTCTTCTCTGTCTTCCGGTTGTTGCCTGTTTTGAATGACAAATACACACTACTGCCGCCTGCTGGTAAGGAAAGTTATTGCCACTTACGCATGCGCAGTTCGTACGTGCTAGGCGAGTAAAGTAACGAGTTACTTTATGTAGATAGTAACGAAGTAGTGTAATATATTACTTTTTTTAAAGTAATATGTAATATATTACATTTTTTTTAGTAACGGCCCCATCTCTGGAGTTGGCGTTCTCTACTCTGATTTACATGAAGAACAACAGGAGGTCACGGCTCTTTGTTGAACAGGATTTGCGAGTGGCCCTCTCCTCAGTGCCACCAAGGATTAAAACATTCTGCGCGCCCCGACAGGCACATGTATCTCACTAATTTGTAAGTCGGCAAAAATATTTACAATAGCACATGCTGATTGCTGAAATGCTGATTGCTGAAATGTTACATTTATAATTTGTAGTTCAGGACCATGGACAATGCAGCTTCCTTGCATTGACAGTTCTCTGTGCTGAATTTCTGCTGAGTTTCCTTTGCCTCATTTTTTATTTTGTGACCTGTCTGGTTTAAATGAGTGTGTTGCTGCTTTGATGAAGCCTAATTTGATAAAGTTTCAAATTTAATTTCTGAAATATTTCGTTAATAAATATTTCATGAGTAATATAGTTGTCTTTGTCACATTTTATTTGGCATTAGTAAATAATTATGCACATGTACAGATATTTTACATGATATGAGTGATAACACGTGTTATAAGGGCTATTTTGCACAATAGGTGTGCCTTGAGATTTTTACTTGTCCTTTGGTGTGCCTTGGGCACAAAAAGTTTGGGAACCACTGATCTAACCGAAAGGTCCGCACCATAGACTGTATATATAAATGGACGTAGGGTCCGTGACGTCACCCATAGAATTCTGCAGAGTTGCCGAGAAGCCCTTAGTAGGCGGAGTCGGCCACTAACGGCTCGACAGTGACGTCAGAGTTCAACTCCCGCCTGTTCCAGCCTGCAAAGAGGCGGAGCCGAGGCGGGACCTGCTGCCACCGAGCTGGAAGTTCCAGAGCTAGCTGAAGCTACCAAGCTAAGCTAACATGCTCCCCATCTGCACAATGCCGTCGCATTTTACGTTTCTAAGCGGACATGAAACTCTTCACCAAAACTATAAATAATAATCTAAGTTATTGAGTTTTTAGCATAATACTTCAGAATCTTAAAACCCCTTAACGTTTGTATGCAATTGTGCTAAATGCAACACTGGAATCAAGCAAATATTAATATGTTTGCATGACATTAGTTATTTATATTTTGATATCACTTAATTACACGTTTAATACATTTAAATCAAGCTAAGGTACATGTGATGGTAGCTAGTTAGTGCTCTTACCTGTGATGCCTCCTCCAAACAGCATAATAACCAGACATTAAAACTAAGTACCAGTTCTAGATCCTTGACTTTAGACCAGGGGTCGGCAGCCCACGGGCCGCAAGCGGCCCTTTAAGCCCTCTGCTCTGGCTCCCTTGAGCTTAGACAAAAATAAGAAGGAAATAAAATAAAAGTATTTGTAGGACTATTTATATTTTGTTGCATGGTTGAAAATGTTTCGTATCTTGTATTTTG